GTGACTTTCACCAGAGCTGTTTCAGTGCTATGATGAGCTCTAAAGCCAGACTGAAACTCTTCAAAAAGTTCATTATGCACCATCTTCTGTTTTAGGCCACCGCCATGTCTGTGGACTGCCTGGGATCCCACGCCGTCCTGTCAGGGTGAGCTGCTGCTGCTGAGGTCGAGGGTTCGATTCCCGGCTGCAGGCACCAAGAATCAAGCTGATTTAATAGCAGTTAAGATTCTGAGAGAAAACGGTCAGTGTCTGTGTCTTTGATGCTTCTCTTGCTGTTCAGGCGCCGCTTCCTCTACATGGTGAACCTGGAGGCTCCGTCCGAGGCGCCGCGGAAAATCGGGCGCCACAGTAAGTGGGATGTGGGGACGGTCCAGTGGAACCCCCACAGATCAGAAGCCCACGTCTTCGCTGCCTCGGTGAGTTCTGCTCGTGTCTCTGTGGAACACCAGGAAGCGTTTATCCAACATGGAAACATCCGATGAACAGAACCAGGATTCCGCCTCTGATTCAGTTCAGCTGTGGGGTTTCCAGGTTGGAGCAACGCTCAGGTGTCTCCTCTGATCCTCAGAGGATCATAATCATCAAACCTGGCTTCCAGCCCTTCTAATGGTCGGTTCCTCGTATGTTAGCATCCATCAGTGCTTCTGAACCAGTTTGTTTGAACTTGTAGGGCTTTTAAACCTGATCTATAGAGAGCAGGCAGGGTGGACCGGTCCAGAAGACTCATGGTTACCCATCCGTGTCCCCGCTGTTGGTTTTCTTAAACTCATTCACATGGAAATTTCCCCTAAATCCAGCAAAGATACAAAAATAGACTGAAATCTTTAGTAGCCCCACAGCATGATGCTGCCATTACCATGCTCTTACAGTTGGACCCAGTATTGAGAGTAACAGCATTATAAAATAACAGCCTTAGTGACCTTAGAGATTTTCATTTATGGAGTAATCTAACGAGTTCTTTTTTTATATGTTTTTATATGTCGATGACTCCATATATAGTCCTAAACATCTAGTTTGTACGGTGGCCCTGAAGGGCAAACCAAGTGTTGCTGATGGGGTTACCACTTCACTCTAAGTTTGCATTATTATTTCATTATAAACATTAAACGCCTCATTCCTACATAAATTAATGAAGTGTCATGGCTTCCCTCTCTCACCTCACACCCCCCCATGGTGAAGATTAGTAGACTGTCTGCAGTTATGTTGTTTATTTCATTAATTTGTCTATAAGTTTTTTTATTTATATCAAACATTCTATATTTGATAACTATGGAAGAGGATTAGGGCCACTGGAAAAAAAAAGTTTACTGATTTTAAAATTATATTTCAGTTTAGTATGGGAAAAAAGTCAGAATTCTGACTTTTTTCCCATACTAAACTGAAATATAATTTATATAATCTCAGAATTCTGACTTTTTTCTCAGAATTCTCACTTTAATCTCAGAATTCTGACAGCTAACAAACGTGTTAGCATCCAGCCATAGCCATGTCTGTTTTAGAGACTAGCTCTCTTGTTTTAATGACCTTCTGCTCCTCCGTTAATGAGTCAGAATTCTAAGATTAAAGTCAGAATTCTGAGAAAAAAGTCAGATTTCTGATTTTTTTCCTATAGATAGATAGATAGATAGATAGATAGATA